AACTGTATCATAGAAATCCATGATTTGATGGCTCAATTGGTTGTGTATGAGCACCAGCAAGATCAAAATTAGCTTGGTTGGACTGGGCAAGAACTGTGATGTGAGTACTATTTCCCTAGCCTGCACTGTGTTTGAGAAATTATTTGGGTAGCCTGGAACCTGGGCATAACTTCTGACCAGTGGTTGATGCAAGGCCATCTGATGTCAGGCATGACTAGGGCTCAGGTAAATTTTTTATACTTTGAAAATCAAACATTGTCGCTAGCTAGTGGAATCTGACTTAAAGTCTTTTAGCTAACATTAGATTTTGTTTTGCAGCTTTCTTTTCTGTGCTATGCTAGTAAAATCTGCTTATTTACCATAAATGGAAATCAACCCAGATGAAGTTGAAACCAGTCACTTATGAGGCACCTCAGACAGGAGCGGAAGTCAGACAAAGCTTATCAGAAGTGATTAAGAGTTTAAGATCTGGTTGAGAGGAAAAGGGAATTATGATTCCCATCGCCAAACCGCACCTGAAATGTGGTTATGGGAAGATCCCTGACTTGGGTAGGAAGTGGGCCAGAGATTGTTATGGCAATGCCTAGATAAGTTTTACTATTTCCCTGAACAGTTAGCAACTATACAATGTACTATTCAATGTACACAATATGTATAGGATATCCCAGTCCCATAAGGTGGTGCATATTTTCAACAGGAGTTGAGGGTCCTCAGAGTTTCAGAAGATGAAGCCTTTAGCAGCCCATAGGTGTGTGGGTGTTTTCTAACAATACCACTTGTTGCCTTGTGAAAAGAAAATGGAATAGTAAAACCACAAGAAGTGCCAGGAGTACTCAAGAGCAGTATCTGATTTTTTTTAATTGTATTCCTTTAAGTGGTCATTGATTAGCTGTTGACTTTTGAAGCTAGAGAATATTACACACAAAAATTAGGTTCTTCATTTTTAGAATAAAATCATCAGTGTGTCTCATTTATTTCTCCTTTTCAACTTTGTAAATCAAAAAACTTCTATTCTTGTTACAGGTCTGACCCACCTATTGGTAAGTAAGGACAGGAATTTAAAGAGACTTTGAAAGCTGGACTTCTTGCATTACAAATTATATTTCATATCTGTTATGGAGATGTCCATAGAAGTAACATTTCTGATGCGTTCTAAGAGGATTTTGCCATTGACTTCAGTAGAAACAGGATCAGGGCTTAAAGCAGTATAACAAAGTTGTGAAGTCAGGTCATGCATGGGTCATATTGGCAACTAATGAGTAGCCTTTGGGCCTCAGCTTTGAAATATATTACACATTTCCCTGTAGTTTTCACAAAAATATTTCATAGCAAGTTAATTGCAATTCAGATAACTATTTTTAAAAAATCAAAGCAATAAATATATACCAGCTTCTGTAACAATAATATGTGCCTATAAAACAAGCAATAATTAGGCTTTAGTTGATTTAAAAGAAGACATTCTCTCTGTAATTAGAGGTGGAAAAGATCTATTATATTGTCTAGTCCATCACCCACCCTGTGCACATTAGTGGTAATTAAGACATTACAAGGAATGAAAGACAAAAATGCAGGGAACCAGAATAGATATCCCAAGTGGCCCAACCCTATGTGATAAATAGTTCAAGTGTACAGCATTACAGGGACTATCATCATTAAGTTTTATGGTAGATAATGAAAACTGTAAATAAATCTAACAACAGACCAAGAGCTACAAAACAATAAGATCTGAAAACAAAACTAACTGTACTGAATGTCAGTGAAGATTTTAGAGCCAGGTAGTTTTTATGCTTTTTATCAACACCTTAAAGAAGAGGAGTCCATTTACTTATACAATGAACACATAACAAAAACTGATCATGAGTTCTTTAGACCTCAGTTCAGTACAATTATGTGACCCAATTTCTACTCAAAAATCCTCCAGGCGAAAATCTGCCTTTCATTCAATTATTCCAATAGGAATGTTACGCATGCATTTGATAGCACAATTTGGCCGCTAAACTTAAGAGACACCTCAGAGTGATACAGTCTTCTGTACATTATGTAATTTCCTTTAGCTTCACAGTTAGAGAGTTAAGTAAAACTGAACACAGCTCATTAATGTAACAATGTTCTGAAGTAGCTATCACTGGTTCCACTTTAAATCACAAGTGCAATTTTAAACACATTATAATTAAAGCCCACCCTCTAAAATCTTTACAGATCAACTCAACATGGCAGGAAAAAGGGGGAGCAGAAATTATAAATACAAAATGGTCAAACTAAAGAGTGAGTGAAGAGAAATGCCACTTTTGGAATAAAAAAAGATTGCTTTTAGTCAAATAGCTATATACACATATATATAGCTATAGTGACTACATTTTGCATGACATTAAGTTTCTCACTGAAGGACACACCCTAGCAAAGATCGAGTTACAGGACTGAGGCCCAAATTAGTATGTAAGGTCACATCATGCATTTGACTTAATGCACTAAGAGATATCCCCTTGATTTCAGATCAAGCACATTCACTTGTCTTTGCATCTCCAGGCTCTCATTCTGTAATGGTGGGACCCTTAGATAGCAGGTTGTGTCCAAGTACAGATATTTATCAAGCAGCAGCTCAAGGAAGAGATGTCAGCTATAACCATTCACATCTCAAGTGCCTGTAAAAAAAATTGAGAACTAGCTTAGAAGAAATACAATACTTCATAGTCCTTCGCTGTAAAGTGTGACACGTAAGGCTCGTATTATTAAAGTAACAAACTAGAGAGAACACATGCCACTGCACAGTGACTGGGACAACTGCAAAGCACCAAGGCACTAATTCAGTCCTAACATTATTGAATTTTTAATTCTCCCCTGCTGCTCTCTCTGAGGTCTGCTTTATCCCCAGTCATCAGCAAATGGCCTAGCAGCACGCTAGCCACTTCCTAGTTCAAAAATGTGAACTTTCTCAATGAACCCCAAAACAATACACACTATAGCAAGTGCAAATCAAATAACTTTGGCCTTAGAGAGAAAATTAATGGATAAAGGTTTATTTTTATGTATATAGCACAATTTCTTCTGGGTTATTTGTTTTTAGCCCTACAAAAAGTCCTCTTTTTTTTCTATCCCACTCCCTCTGGGGTAACTTGGTGCATAAGACATGTGTAATAGAATGCTTCATACAGAAACAATTCTGGTGTGCTGAGGAGAAGTACAGTAGAATTTTATGGGGCACTCCAAAAATGGCATATTTGTAGCTTTCATACAATTGTGCCTTTGACAATGTTTTGAGATTAAATATTCTTAATTAAAATTAATTTACAAGGTGGTTTTTGCTTTTTGTTTTCTTCCTTCTTTCTATTGCAGGAAATATTCTTTTCTTCTCCCTTTTTAATGCCTGTCTTTCCCCAGCCTGATTTCTCCTTTTCATTTCCTTCCTCCATATTCTTTCATTCTGTCCCTCCCTCTCCCCTATGCTCATCGCTCACATGGCCACTCAGGTGTAGTCACTGCACTCAGTCACTCTCACAGGTGCCCCAATTTCTCATTCTAACACACTTAAACAGGTTACCCAGTTTCACTCATTCTGGTGCTTCCTATCAGACAAATTTACTCACTTTAAAGCAGCAGCAGGTTGGTTGGTCTCTGCTGCTCTTTCTGGTGTTTCTATTATACGTTACATTGATGACAGCAGCAACTTGAAGCAGAATACGGGACTTCTAAGAAAGAGCAAGGGTTAGAGCAATGTGTCCCCCAAAATACCATACACAGTTTTTTTAAGACTAAAATTTGTCATTTATTCACCCTACCCCTTGCTTTCCTGAAAAGTGCGGTTAAAGCAATGATTTCAGCCCTGCCTTAAAAAAATATTAAGGAGTAAACAGATGAAGTGCTATACAAAAGGTAGCCACTGTGTGACATTTTAATGTTTATCTGATAGATTGAAAGTAATACTGGAAATTATTTTAAGTGTGCAGGGTTGGGATATTTTACACTCCATGTGCTGTATTAGCTTTGCACTAAACAATCCTGTTTAGTTGTCTTTTTGGACTTTGGTTCTGCATATATGTACTTAGATACTTTGTTTTCCAAAGCTGTCACAAGGACCCTGATCCTACAAACACGTCAACAAATGCTCAACTTTAAGTATGTGATTTAGTGTCATTTAGTTGAATGGGATTATTCACATACATAAATCTAAGTGATTGCAGGATCAACACCTACGTTTGTCAGAATGCACCATGGCACACAATAGTTTTGGGCCCTGTACTATTCAGTATTGGACAACTACATTTTTGCAAGTCCTAACACTCAGCATTTCCAGACCCTCTTTGCATGTTCAAATACTATCAATATATACAAATCCAAACTTTTGGGCACATTTAAGCTTTGTCATTAAAAATTGTTCAGCCTGGAATTGTTACCTGAAATTTGGGGTGCACAAATTTATAGATCAGTGAAGCCACTTTTAAAAGTTGGCCCTTTACCAGTATGTGACCCAATTCAAAGTGGTTAAAAACTAAGCTTTACAGATATTTCAACCAAAATAACCCTTGCTAAATTGTAAAATAGTTCTTAAAATTTGAGATGGCCCAGAGCTAAAATGCTGAACCCAAACATCCCTGCACTCTAAGCTTGTTCAAAATCTTAACTGGGGTACAGATCTGAAGTCCTCAGATGGTCCAGATCCCATAAACTGCTCTGCATGAGCTCTGTGCAGAGGCTCATTGGCTTTGATACAGCTTAATGTTGATGTGACAGTCCACCGATCCAAAGCAACTTAGCGTGTTGGGGCCCAAAATGCCTCTCAGTGATGGGTTGTTCAAAAGCTAGAGCTGGATCTAAAGTCTTGTCCCTTCTCTGCATAAATGTAAAGGGGGAGGTCACTTTCCTTTTTGTCCTGTTGTTTTTCTGACAAAGTTATCTCAACTTACTTATTTAGGGAGAATGAGTCATGTAACTATCCTCAGCAAAATGGACTTTCTCCTCCTAGAAAAATTAATTCACTTAATTTATCTTAAATTTGATTGCAGCGAGCACCCCTAATTAACCTGATTTTTTGCTGATAATCACTCACAATGGAATCAAATCAAAAATCGGGGGATGGATTGACCGGCACACAGAAAGAAGCTGCTCTCCGTGCATTAATTCAGCGCACAGGATATAGTTTGATACAGGTAAGAAAGTGTAATCACGTGCTTGAGTGCTATTTTTTGCATAGTATCTAATTTTAGCTTTAATTAAGTAGTTGTGTCAAGGGCTTGAGTGGTAAATATTTAACAAGGAAACTTTCCTTCTTTGTTGGTTCTCTTCCCTTCTCTCTGTTGTGTATCTGAAAGATGCTTTATTTTAATAAGTAGGACTGAATTCTTCCATTGATTTTTTTGTTACCCTGTAGCCAGTCATGATAAGCCAACCAAAAACCTAGAGCTGAGTGTCTCTGAATCTCAGGGAAGTTTTGGATTGCAATCTGAACTTCACAGCTGCACTTTATCTTATAAGATATCTTAAGATAAAGTGCAGCTGTGAAGTTCAGATTGCAATCCAAAACTTCCCTGAGATTCAGAGACATTATCGCAATGTCCACGCTGTGGGGACTATAGTGGCATAGCCAAGGTGTTGTAGCTATACTGGCTTAACCCTGTGGCCCACAGCAATTGAAGAGGTTTTTCTATCATCATAGCAACACCCTTTCCGAAGCAATGATAGTGAGGTCAACAGAAGCAGGCTTCCATCAGCCTAGTTACATTTACACCAGGGGTTAGCTACAGCACTGGGAAGTGTAGCTTTTTCACAACCAAGAGCCCTGTAGCTATGTCAACCTGACTCAGAAACCCTTTGTACTTTAAAAGTGTTTAGATCCAGGTCTGAATTTGACATCCTGGGACCATTTTTAGTCTCTAAATATTAAGTATTTCATTTCTCTGACATAGGAGAGAGATTATTTATCAGCCTTAATAATCAGATGTTTGTTTAAAGTCTGTTTGAGAAGGTCTCAAAATTGGAGACATCTTTGTTTATTTTTACAAAATTTGTAGCAGGCAGGGGAGCCCTTCAAAAGGCAAATTATCCATCTGTATATTGAATTTTGGACTCTTCCTCAAAACAAATGTGACCTCAACATATTTCATTTTTAAATGCAATAGAAAATTAGCAATACTATGAAATAATCTGGTAAATTCTAAGGGAATATAATTGCAAATGGTAATGAGAGTGAATTTTATGGAGTTTACTAAGGCTCAGATCCTGTCAGTTGTTAGGGCCAGAAGTATGGTAGGCAGCACAGCAGCCCAAAGAGGCAGTTTTGGTCTAAAAGGAACCTGGAGCTACCAAAACTACAGGGCAGACAATTAAAATAACAAAAGAACAGTGTGTTTATGTAGCATATAAAGCTGTGTTCACACACTATAGATAAGCATTTGGGTTTGCTGCATTTTAACATTGTTATCTACTATACTTTACACAGAGTGAGATAAAAATAACATACATCTGCTGTATTTATATTCTGCATTAGTTTTTTTATCCCAGTCTTCTTTTCTCTTTCTTACCTTCATCTGTATTTTTCAATATTTGATTTACCTCCATTTTCAGTTACTTCATCTCTTCTTCTTCTGACACTTTTCTCTTTGCTTCCCAGGTTCTTTGTCCCTTTGTCCCATCCTGCTATTTTCAGAGTTTATCCTATTTCTCCTTTCACCTGTTCCTTTCCTCACATTCTCTGGGGTTTTATTTCAAACTCATCACCACAGTATCCACGTAGCTGCTCTCTTAGCTTGCCTCTTATCCCACCCTCACTCTCCCCACTGCTCACTCACTCAACTGCAAAAAGGGAAGGGGACTTAGGAAAACAGTTCTTCCTCCTTCCACCTACTCTGTGGAGAGCTGAGAATTGGGTTGGAGTACTTTTTCCTTCTTTCAACCCATGAGATGAAGACCTTGCTGACTGAAATAGGTTTTTTCCCCTCTGCTGAGTCATCCCATTGACTTACAAATACATTAACACAATGACCTAATTAAAAGAAAAGGTTTTGTTTTTCCAGTACTTTGTTTTGCAGTGGCATGGTAAATCTTCTCAAGCCTTTCTCATCTGAATCTACTTTGGGGTCAGGGTTTTTTTCAAATTCCTTTTACTTAGCCTCTCTTGAATAGATCCTGCAGGATCCACAGGCATGCACTACATAATAATCACAATTAAGAATGTGACAAAACTGAACAGATTTATCACACCTTAGCTATACAAAATGAATCAATAGAAGTTCATACATCACTCAGCAGAATTACATCTTCAGGGACAAAAATGGTGTTTAACATTGCCAGCTTCAATGTTTTAAACTTTGATAGTGCAGGAATTCACTCCTGAATGAAAGTACTGTTATGACTTTCCCATTATGCTGAAAATGTTTACAGTAAGATTGATAATGGATAATTTACTACTACATCTGTCCAAGTGATAATCCATAGACAATAGGCTGGAAGAGACTTCTTGGTCCCTTGTCACTTATATTCCTAATTAGTTTTCCTTCAGGATCCTAATCAGTTTCACTTTGCTATGCTCTCTCACTATGTAAGGAGCTTGAAACAGTTTCTGTCTTTATTAAATAGTTTAGGGTTAGAATGACTTCAGAGGGCAAATGACTAGAGAATTAGGGCTGTCTACACAGCAAGCCAGGGTGTGAATCTACTGTGCACCAGCTTGTCATGCAGTAACTCATTGTGTGGACACTGCTGTAGCTTAGTAAAAGTCCCACCCTCTCCTCTTCCAAATACCTCCTAGAAACATAATTCTTCCAAGAGCAGATATGTAAGCTTGCTTCTTTGTTCTGTACAGTAGGAAGCTCACCAACTACCAAAATCCAGTATAAATGTAATAATTAATAAATGTTTCTGAGCAGGAGGCAGATTGTTGAAAACATGTACTTTTGTTGAATGTGTTACTAGGTTAGAACCAAAACTAACATATGTTCTGCTGGGTGCACCTGTCATATCAGATTTAGAAAAGCTGTTGGACATTGACTTTTTAAGCCAACTCAAACATTTGAAAAAATGTTGCCCCAAATTACTGAAGTCAAAACACTCATCTCTCCGGTACTCTAACGTATGTTGTTTGTGACCCTCAGAGAAACTCTCTACAAACTGGTCATCTCTCAAATACATCAGGAAACTGCCATTAGCCACTGTAGAAGGCACATGGGAGCAAATCTTGTTCTTATTGAAGTTGATGGGAGATTTTTTATTAACTTCACTAGAGCTGGATTATGACACCTGGTTGCTTTCTGAAGCTCATAAAACACTAGTAAATTATAAACTTTGACTCTGTAAAGGGAGATTGATGCTAGGCAGGCAATGTTTTAGCCTATGGTAGTCTGGCATCCTTGTACAAAACATCATGTTATATTAAACACTATAGCATCAGAAAGGTAGTATTTGACTAGGGTCTATCCACATAGTTCAACTTTAAGTAAACAAAGATAGGTAACATTATGGCAAATATTGAGTGACTTCATTGGGCATTGGATCACGTCTTAATGAGGGAGAGTTGCACAAAGACATTGTTTCAGATGGCAAGAGCTGAAAAGAAGGATGTTACGGAAACAGGATTTTATGAAGGGACAGAGAGGATGCCAGTGTTAGATGAGCAGAGAGGCCAAGTGGCGGGGGGGGGAGGGGGGAGGGAAATAGAAAGAAAGGCACTGTTATGCAGATAAGTCCATGGAGAGTTATAGAAACAAATAAGGCAATTTTGAGAGATTTCTGTTGATTCCATATATTTTAAAATACATTTCCTTTCTTTGATGTAGGAAAATGGACAAAGAAAGTACGGAGGTCCACCGCCTGGCTGGGATGCCCCGCCACCAGAGAGGGGCTGTGAGATTTTCATTGGGAAATTACCCCGAGACCTTTTTGAAGATGAACTTATCCCATTATGTGAAAAAGTAATGTTTTACATTGAAGAGAATTTCCTCCTCTTGTACCATACACATGTTCCTGATAAAACTGTGTTCAGAAAGAAGGCTGCATTTTCAAAGGCCTGGAACATGAAATAACAAATGGAAAATTGAAATGCATATAATTCTAATACACAAACATTAGCAACTATTATTGTGTGTGTGTATACATTGCTAGGTGTATAACCCATCGTACTTCTGTGTTTGGTGAGGCTACTTGTATAGTTTGCTCCTGTTACCTAAATCTGTTCTGAGTCTCACTTTCTATTACAGGGCTAAGCTGTATGCTTATACTTGTCTGGAGCTACGGAAATGTGGGGGTATAGAGCAGAAGCGCTGAGCAGAGGTGCTCTGACGCATGCTATCTGCACAGGGCTGATACAAGCAGAATGCCTCCGGGAGCACTGGGCAGAGAAAGCGTGCTATAGCATTCCTTCCACCTGATTTTGGGAGGAGCAGCATGCTCCTTCAATGACTCCTTCCAGATCCTAGCAGGTGTGTAGGGCCCTTAATGTGCCCCATCCTGTCTAACGACCCCAACTGGACCATGAAACACTACAGGTTATACCCAGCCTTCACTGATATCTACATGCAGCCACTGTAATTGTATGTGTGATAGTCACTCACAAATTTTTTTCATGCACAAGAAGGGAGCAGTTTAAAAGCATGAAAGTAGTACCAGCCACACAATCATTTGATTAACCGAAGTCACCACATAATTACATTATTGTAACACTTCTGCTCCCCCCCACCATTTTTTTTATCTCTACTCTTTGTTGCATGAGTTCCAAAATTAGATTGTATGCTCCCTGAAGCAGGGACAACATCGGTGAAATCCTGGCTCCAGTGAAGTCAGTGGTAAAATTTGCATTGACTTCAGTGGGGTCAGGATTTCACTCCATGTTTTATTTTTTGTAAAGTGCTTAACACACCTTAGGTACTTGATAGTAATTGTTATATCAGGGCATGCACATACCGTGCCCGCCCTATCACTAATGGTAATCACATTCCCAAATATGGAAGCTTCCAAAAGTTTGCCCTCATTCTCCTGCAGCACTGCTGTCTTCACTGGAAAGAGAAAAATCCCACCAACGGTGGCACAGAAGAAAGTTTGGTCAAGTGAGGTGCACATATTGATTTTGAGAACAGGCTGATGCTGTGTGACTTTGGAGCCTCCAGTCCTTTTCTTTCATAGCACAGACTGAAATTAAATATTTAAAAACAAAGAACAAATCACTGCAAGAAATCATTACAGTGACAACTGCACAGTAAGGTTCCTGAGGCACACATTGGAACTCTGGTACTGTGTTATCAGATGGTGTGAATGGAGGTCATTTACCTTGCTAAAGAGAGCTGAAGTGCTAACTCAGCCCTAACTGTCACTTAAACATATGTTGCCTTTATTTATTCTGACTTCATTCATGGGTCAGAAAACAGTTCTCAAGTAAAATAGGTTCTGGCTGATGGTCACATTGATGGAGATGTTCAAACAACTCTGAGGTGATATGCACACAAAACACAGTCAGGAAAATAACCAGCTTTGTGTAAATAGCTTCTGTGCTGTTGGTGAAAGTTTCCTTTCAGAATGGGTTATTGATTTTTCTTTTCATTTACAGATTGGTAAAATCTATGAAATGAGAATGATGATGGACTTCAATGGAAACAATAGGGGATATGCCTTTGTAACATTCTCTAATAAACAGGAGGCTAAGAATGCAATCAAGCAACTTAATAACTATGAAATTAGGTAAGCATGAATGGTATATTCATATAAAGTTGAAATCAAATGATGCATTACTCTGTTTTATTATACACTGTGTATTTTTCCTGAGACTTGCAAAAGGATTATGTAGTTATCTAAACTTTAAAATCACACCATCCATTGTTCCCTTGTACAATCAGTCAGTTTCCCATTGATGAAAATACACTTATAATTAGTTAGTTGGAAATTTCCTGCTGAAGTGTTTAAAAATGGTTCAGACCTATAGAAATGTCTTTAGATCATTTCAAAACATTTTTTATTTTGTTTTTAAAAATTATAGATATCATAGTCAGAAGGAACCTCGGGAGGTCATCTAGTCCAACCCTCTGCTCAAAGCAGGACCAAGCCACAGATCCCTAAATAGCCCCGTCAAGAATTGAACTCACAACCTTGGGTTCAGCGGGTCAATACTCAAACCACTGAGCTATCCCTAAGTAGCTTAAATTTTAAAACTGCCATTTCAAACTAAAAAAATCAAACTTTTCATTGATAAAGGGTGAAAATGAAATGTTTTAAGAATTTCAAAACTTTTTTCAACATTTTTAGTTGAAACAATCTGGCCAAACCAACCCTCTCCTGCAAAGTTTCCATTTTGATAAATCTGCATTTTCTAACAAAAATGTGTTTTGTCAAAAAATTCTGGACCAGCTTTACTGACAACCCTCTTTTGGCTCATGGGGAGGCAGGAGGAGCTGCTGACTAGCCCATCCTGAGCTTTGTGGGGAGTTGTGGACTGGGCAGGGAGCCTTCTTAAATTCACAAAGTATGAGTGGGCATCATGCTAATGCCCATGAGGGATTGGACTTTCTGATGTATTATTTAAGGCTGGCTGGGGATGGAATTTGGAGGCTGTCTAGGAAAAGAAGAGCTTTTTAAGGCTTATGGGGAAGGAAGCTGTAACTCTCCAAAAGCGCTCCAGAAGGGCTGGGGACAAGAGGAGGTAAAATGGGAATTTATGAAGGAGTCTTCATTCCCTGGGGCACTGCATGGAGCACAGAGAGAAGCAGGAAGCACCCAGAGAGAACAGGGATTAGCACTCCCTATGGCCTGAATCATGCAGGCTGGAGAACAATGAGAGGTAGAGAGAGGTGTTTCCTCAGGCCCCCAGTTGTGCTGACCCACAGGCTGACTATGATTTCCCAGTTAGCTGACACATTGGTGAACATGATTTGTCCTGGTCTACAGTGACTGTAAATCACAGTCAGCATCATATTAGCTAAACACAATTCTTCACTGTTGTGCTCATCAGTGGTACAGTTCTGGGGTAAAAACAACCCTCAATGGCTGGCTGTGGAAATAAACACCTAGGAAGTTAAAGATTAAAATTTATTTCTCCCAAAGTCTCAAATTATTTCCAAGCAATATATTCTCAAAACACTGATACCTGCCTGCAGCTCCAATTTCACCTTCAAATTTGTGGTGTGTGAACATTCAAAATCAATTCTGAATATATTCCTTTCTGTCTGGCAAAATTGCTGACTGAGTGTTGGATGGAGTACACTGCTCAAATGGATTGGTCTGATATGTTTTAAACTGTGTTTTTTGGGAAGATGAGGCTTGTGATTTCTCAAAGAACTGAGCCTATTTCATTACAAACTGGAACTGTTGTTTGTATGCAGGAATGGACGACTCCTAGGGGTTTGTGCCAGTGTAGACAACTGCCGTTTGTTTGTAGGAGGAATCCCAAAAAACAAGAAGAGAGAAGAAATTTTAGCAGAGATGAGGAAAGTCACAGACGGGGTCATTGATGTCATTGTGTATCCCAGTGCAGCAGACAAAACAAAAAACCGTGGCTTTGCTTTTGTGGAATACGAAAGTCATCGAGCAGCAGCAATGGCAAGAAGAAAACTGCTACCAGGTTTGTTTGCAGTGTTGGTCATGCAGCTTCCTTCACCGTGGCGCTTCAGGAGGTCATTTAGTATTAAAGAAACCAACAGCAAATACTGACATTTTTCAGCTTTCCTATTGCCTGCCTGCCCAGCTGCTGGAGAGGCATAAAGCCTAGCCACTGAGCTTCTTCACTTCTCCCCAGCTCCAGGGCCAGCCCGGCAGAGAGACAGAATACTTAGCCTCTACAGCCCTGGAGTGGCAGGGAGGGGCTGAGTCTCCCCGCCAGCTGATTGTCCAGTCCCGGAACTTGGGGGAACACTGGGAGGCAGAGTCAGGGAGCTCAGTCTTGGTAGCCCCCCAGAAAGCTCTGTCAATTGGAAAGAGCCTTCTAAGGGGGCGGCTGGGGAGCCATCATTTTGATCATGAGATTTTGGGGCAAAATTTAAATTTTCCCATGGAAAGTTTTGATTTTGAGAGAAGGGCATTTTCAATCAAAAAAATCATTCCAACAAAAATTTCCCAGCCAGTTCTACTGTAATGGAAAGCATAATGTGATCTTTGCCACCATCACATTGTTAACACTGCTTGTGTTTTACACCCTTTTCCCCTTCCTACGTGTATCCTATCTATTATATTGAAAGCTCTTAGCGGCAGGGGCTGTCTACTACTCTGTGTTTTGTACATTGCCTAGCACAAGGGGACCACATTCTTGGATGATCCCTAGGCACTACCATAATAAACAATCATCATTACAGCAAGCACTTATGCAGCTGTTATCGCTTCAGGAGTTCCACTGATTGGGACTGACCTTTCCCCAGCCACTGCCACCCTCTTTGGGGGCAGCGCTGGCAGCTTACAGGCCTCCTGAAAGAGGAGAAGGTGTGTCTGCTGGACTTACAACTGCCAAGGCCCCAACTCAGGGTCTACGCCATCTTCCATTTGCAGAGTTTCCTGGACTGAATTTGTCCCGGTAAATTATTATTACACCTGAGTACTACTACTTTGCACCATTATAGTCCCTTTTATTTGTGCATTAAGTGACTTGCCCAAGACCAGATAAGTTATTTACTGAGCCAGGAATTTAACTCTCTATTCCTGTCTTAATTCCCGTCTAATTTCAGATGCATCAATTTTATGAAATTACCTTTATATAATACAAAGACACCCAACACATACACATGCATGTACTTTATTATATACATCAAAATCCGCTGCAAAAGACAATGCTTTTGCAGTTAATACAGGCCAAATTAACCTCCATTATACAGCAGATTGTTTAGTGGAATTCAGTGGAATTGGCCCTGGTAGGCCATTTTCTTGGTTCAAAGAGATTTTCTAGGCTCCTTTCAGGAAAAAACATTGCTCAATCTCTGCTGAAATTAGAAATAAATCTCTGATAAATCCATTTATCATTATTTGTACTGGTGCAATCTAATATATTTGAAATAGTATAGCTGCTACAGATTTTGCAAGGATTTAAAGTTGCATTAAAGAAGAAAAATATTTTCTTCCCAAGATGGTGGGGGAGATGGCAAGATTGCTGAATGTAGGAATATTTATGGGCCCTAATCAGGGAGGATGGGGACTCCCATTAACTACAGTTGGACTCAATGGTACTCAGAACCTTGCAGGATTTGGAGAATACAATCTGAGGCCCTTATTCAGGAAAGTAGTTATGAACATAATCAGCTTTAGAAATGTGCTTAAGCATTTTCCTGAACAGGGATGCTTTCCTAACTGGAGCCTAACGAAGAAATCTCTAATGAGGAATTGCATTTATGCCTAGACTTATATTACACAAGGAATATCTTTGAATAAGTATGTACTAGCTGCTACATTTGAAGACATGAGCAAAATTTACTAGTATTTAGCCATGAGATATGATTAATTTTTAAGTAGGCGTGTACAGGTTTTACTAAGAGGGTAATCTGAATACAATAGAGTTACATAGGTGGTTTATAATTGGCCTACAGAACCTTTAGTACTTGTGATAATGATCAAGGTGAAAAGAAACCAACTTGACTGTCTGTCCCCAAGATAAGTTTACAGAACTGGCCTTTAGGAGAACAGCTTCCATATCATGTGAAAGTTACCATGCATTATTAAAATCAATATTAGATCTTCAAATTGTGTGCAATGAAAGTCAGAAAAGATAACTAGATCTTGGTACCATCACTCTTACAACACATCTAGTGTTACAAAAGTTCCATGTTTATATTGAACTTTACATATGGGCAGAAGTGTGGAATAGTGACAAAAGCATGGAGATGGGGTTAAGAGTTCAAGATTCTCTAAGCAGCTCTGACTCTCACTGTGCGACTTTGGCCAAATCCTACTCCTTCAGTTTTCTCATTTGCCAGATAAAAATAATACTTCACAGAGGTTCTGTGAGACTCAAATAATTGTAAAATGCTCTCGGATCTTCCTCCAAAGTATGGTGCTAGATAGCCATTGTTGTTTATTCTATATTCACCTTTGCATGTGAGCATAATTTAAGATCATATGCAGCTGGCCAAATTAATATCACCCATTGCTTTTTAAATAAATTATACTGTGACATCACCACATGATGCAGTGGGCAAAGTCTTAAGATATGTTTTGCTTTAAGGTATATTTAAGGTCTCATTAAAAAGTAAAGCTTCCACTGTTCTGTGGATATACAGAACTCAGGGAGTTTATCAAGTTCTAGTATGAGGGAAGTTCGGTGTCCAAGCTTATTTATGCCTTGAAGAGACTACTAGCAAAACTAGCCTGTTATTTCTACTGATGATTTGAATATGATCACTGAGAACTGGACCAAAGCCACACATATTACATAGCTAATTAATAGCTTATCAAATGACTACTTTTAGTCATTACCAGTTTGCTGAACTCATTAAAATTGCCAATGAAAAAGCACTGAGTCTATCACAACATCTATGATATTATTGGGTGAATCCAGGACAAGACTGGGCAGGAAATAAGGTCCTGAGATTTTTGTGGCTGAGCTAAGCTTCAATTACTGTTGGAAGAGGAGTAATTCCCTACAAGATGTGCAGGAATGGAAGGAAAGCTGGTCGAAGCAGTTACTGTTGCCATCTGTAGGAGACAAGAGGTGCCTCTGCAAGAGGCTGTTTGCCAGTGCTCATTAGCATGATTTGCATGACCTCAAGACCAGCTCTGTGGCTATATGCAAAGCTATGCCAACACTCTTGATGAATTTAAAGCAGTGGATTAATTAACCAAATGTAAATTATTACTATGGACATGAGATTCATGATGCTGTCATAGCACTGATTTTTAGCCATCTAATTTTTTCCCTTTAGAGCTCCCCAAATCAGTTACAATTTCTCTTTGAGGGACTCATCCAATACACACTAAGTCAGTGAGATTTCTTTCCCCCCACATAAGGCCCTTCTTGTAATCATTTATTACCTTTCATTCCCCTATCTTCGCTATTTCCATTGAAGCACTATTCTATAGGGACCAAACTACTGCACACAAATCAAATTTCTGAGAACATAAGTCTTACTTAAACTTATTAGAATCACAGTTTTTGTCATACTGTAGTCTGTGGAGTCCCTTTCAATCAGCTGCAGAAAGAAACATTTTTGAAACCAAACAGTGGAGGGAAGGGATTTTTGGAAGAGAAGCGGGTTCATTAAGAGATCTCTCTGAGTGGTTCATAGAATGAAAATATTTGAGGACTGTACCATATTTTCTCTCCATCCTTGTTGGATGCTGCATATCTGCAGTGTTAGAAGAATAAAATCTGGACATCTGACTATCTGTTTCTGGATACACATGGTATATGTGCCACTGTTTGAGCATTAAATTTTAGACCTTCTGTATAATCAGTCCATTCTACTACCACAGCATAATTTTATACAAAAGATCAATGTGCCTAGAAACCAACTGAACAATGGTACTTTCAATTATTTATTATTTTTTGCAGGAAGAATACAATTATGGGGACATCCTATTGCTGTAGACTGGGCAGAACCAGAAGTTGAAGTTGATGAAGATACAATGTCATCAGTTAAAATCCTCTATGTGCGAAACCTTATGCTATCAACCACTGAAGAGACGATTGAAAAAGAATTCAACAATATTAAACCAGGTAGGAAATGACATAAAGTAGGTTTTTAGCTATTGAGGGTTTAAGTCCATTAAATTGGTAGATATTGTTCAGTTATAGTAAACTAACAGTAGTTGGTCTGTTTCTCTGAAATATTAAATTGATGGAACACCAACGTAAAGGATAACATAGCTGTTCTTTCCCCTGTAAAACATTCAAGTGCTGAAACAATTTTCACCCAGTTTAAGTTCCTAAAACAGCCACTGCTGGCATTAGGTCATACAGTAAGCTGCTTGTTTTCTAATTGACAGCACAACTGACATTTTCAGGGCGGTTTGGCAAGTCAAATAGCTCTGCGGCAGTCCAAAATGGTGTATGAAAAGTCCTAAGGATTCTACTCTATATAACAAAGTGCATTTTGGCACTCCAAGAAATACAATAATCTCTGCACTACTTTCTTGTGCTCAGCATCAGGAAATCATTCATGATTTAACTCACTTCTATTAACTTTCTCCTCAAAGTTGAAAGATGTATTGCAGAGCATCTTAACTCTTCTGCTTTGTCTCTGGCTCCATAAATTTCTCTTTTTCACATTAGGCTGCAGCTGAAAGATCTATTAGAAATTCCTATATGAGTCATTCCTGTCTTTTTAATCCCTCAGTATAATACTTTTAGCAAACATGAAGTTGTTAGATAAATCATTTTACTTTCAGCTTCTTCCCCCATTATTAATCCCAATTTGCTCCAGAACATTTAACCTATTAGCACTCCCTAAAAAACATGTTTATAGTCACCTAAAGTATCTATAAAACATCATTTTTCACTTAAACCAAATTTGCTCAAAGGAAATGGATTCCAAAACAGTTTATGGCAGCTTTTAAATTGCATTTGCTTTAATGATATATTTCTACAGTTTTATCATTTTCCTCTCCACAGATTTTGATCCCGTGCAGGGATGAAAACTGGCAATTTCTCTGTCTCGCCCTCTTTTTTATTACTAATATTTATTTTTATTATTTTAGACAGATTAAAAATCTGGGACAACTCATTTTTGAGGATGTTGCATGTTTTAAAAAACTGCGTCTATAGTAACTAAATATGACCTTTGGGGAAATAAGCACAGCTCTGGGGTTATAATGAAATTATAATCAGAAATGTCAGGAACAGTCTGAAATTATTTTTCCCTTCCCCTGAGCCTCTTGCACTGGACATAATGCTGTATTGCAACACCTCGTTACTGAAATGTACATTTGACCCAGTCAGCCTGTACCTGGAAAGCATTTTGACAGTAATACAACATCCCGTAACAAATCGTTCAGTTTAGAGGAGTTAAAATCTAGAGCTGCCACTATGGATCAGATTCCAAAGAGTTTCTTAAACCCACATTTCCCATTAACTTTGGTGGTAATGTTGTGAATGCTCCAAGGGCAAAATAAAGCATGAAGACTATTATATTTTATAAAGCTGCAGTGCCAAATTCAATGCTTGCTTTTGGGTTGTTTTGTGCCATTCGAATGGCACGAAGAGTCTAGAGCACTCTGGACAATTAGGGCAACAGCACCTAGAATGAGAGGCCCATTACTGAATTTAACTTTTCAAATTTGTGCACACAGACCTAAGCCTGGATAAAAGATTTTTGTTTCCCAGAGTGCACGAATATCTGACATGGAAGCCAAAGAACAGTTTCTCTGTAAATGTGGGCACGAGAGACAGGAATACATATTATGATGTAGTCTCTTCTGCCTGTCTGCTCCATTCTCGTGAAGGAATTAATGGTAATAAACCAAAATTCTGCTCAAGAAATCCCAGGCAAGGGGTTAAATTTATGATTATGGGGAGCAAGAAGTCAATTGGCTCCCATTTCTGGCTGGCTGGCCAATGGGCAGCAAAGTGCTTGGATATATTTCCCCTTTCATTCGAAAGCTGTACATCACCTTGCAGATCCCATCAAGTTTCAAGTGATGTTAGAAAAGCTCCAGCTACATACCCAAAAGCAAGCCACTCTGCCTCCCTAACCCTTACTCCCCATGCTGGTATCATTTTAGAAAAGTCAACCTGAGTGTCATTTTGAAGTAGTGCACCCAGCTTCCAGTACTAGCTATGATACCTTCTTGTTTCACAGACAATAATACCTTACTTTTAATGCCCACCCCACCCCAAAAAATGTTGCTGCAACTGTTTCAGTAAGTACTACTTACTGCAGTAACACAATTCCCTGTGTTCCAATTCAGCATTCGAAGCAGGAAAAACCATAAGATTAAGATCTGGTCTACTCTAGGAAATTAGGTCGGCTTAACTGCATCGGGCCGGGTTTAAAAAGTCCACACCTCTGAGCCATATAGCTAAGCCGAGCTAAATCACTGTGTGGACACTACGAGGCTGCCAGAAGAATCCTTCCCATCAGCATAGGTAGTGTCTACACTGAAGTGGTGCAGCAGTACAGTGCAGTGGTGCAGCTGTGCTACTGTAGCATTTCAAGTGTAGACAAGCCCTAACTTAGCATTCACGTGCCACCTTTTTTTCCAGGATCTGTATCTATGATAGTAGCAGTAGAGGATAGAAATGCACTTCCAGCAAGTGGGAATGGAGAAGACAGAGTCATTAAAAAAAAAGAAGGAAGATAAATTCTTAAAGCTTTGATTGCAGGAAACAGAAACAGATGCATCTATTTCTGGTATGAAAATCAATTACTCAGGTTGGTGCTGAATGTCACAGTTCCAAAAAAATTGGTACTGGCAGCACAGTAAATAAAGGTGAAAAACTACAGCAGAAGTAGATTCAAAAAAGTACAGAAAACTTTGAATTGGATTCTAGATGAGCAATGCTGCAAAGAATGGCCCTTTTGTTTTCTCAGATTGCCTCACACCCTTCTGTCATAGAGTCTTCTCCATTGTAATAATTGTGGAATTCAATTAACCACTAAACCAGTGATCACCTGGGTCTCTGTACGAACAAACTAAACAAAGAATGCTGAAATTAGAACAATATAAAATTAACATGGCACACATTAAGTGAATTAAAAGCTGGCTAAATGATATCTCTCAAAATGTAATTGTAAATGGGGAATCATTTCTGAGCGGGTGTGATTCCAGTGGAGTCCCACAGGGATCAGTTCTTGGCCCTACACTGTTTTACCAATGACCTGAAAGAAAACATAAAACCATCACTGATAAAGTTTGCAGATGACATAAAAAATGTGGGAGTGGTAAATAATGAAGAGGACTGGTCACTGATTCAGAGTGACCTGAATCGGTTGGTAAACTGGGCACAAACAATATGTGTTTTGATACATCTAATTGTAAATTTATACATCTAGGAACAAAGAATTTAGGCCACACTTATCCAGTGCAGGATTCTATCCTGGGAAGCAGTGACTGAAAAAGATTTGGGGGTCATGGGCAACATCAGCTGAATGTGAGCTCCCAATATGATGCTGTAGCCAAAAGAGCTAATGTGATCCTGGGATGCATAAACACAGGAATATTGAATAGAAGCAGAGATTATTTTACCTCTATATTTTGCTGTAGGAATTATTATGAGGAAGTTCTATGGTCATGGAATCTATGAATTTACAACAGTTGAGAATTTGGCCCAATTTTGACTACAGCACAATGCAGTCCATTCTTTATCTGCCTGACCATATCAGACAGAAAAAGAAAAGTTTATTTTAGAGAGACTTGGGCAGCTTGAGTTAGATATTTTGGATGCAAAGCTTTCAAAGAGTATGAGGAAATTGGCTTATAGTCCAGGTCTGTCCCATGACCATCTTTCCTTTGGCATACCCATTTTTTGTTTCCATGCCAGCAGGTGCTTATTGTGCATGTTTACTGCCAGCTCTGCTCTTCATGCTGGGTCAGAATCACAGTGCAGGTTCTCTCATGGAAGTTCTAACTCTCATTAAAGTTTTCCTCAGAGGCAGTCCAAATTGCACTTGTTTGCATAAATGTACCTTACAACAGACCCAGTAAGACCTGTTGTATTGATCAAAAAATCCTACATTTTCACTGAAAATCTTTAAACTGATGCATAATCAATACACCATCGATTATAAACTAATTGGATTTAGAGTAACGCTTCTCTCTCTGACCCTTGTTCCCCCCACTCCTGCTGTCTGGCTGATGTGTCTGTATATTCATGTGCTTTTCAAAATTGCTTGGCAATCAGAAGGTAGAACAAATATTCAGAAATCAGGACTGCCTTGCATTCTTCAGCACAGATGACAAACCTGTTCGTTGACTTTATAATGTGTGCTGACACACACATCACCTCCAATGTAGCCAGTGGGGAAACAGGAAAAGGCTCTGATACCAAGTGAGAAAGAGACAAATTATTGTAAAAGGAAACTAGCGCTTCTAAACTTGCTGGCTGTGCTGAGGCTGCATGGATGTAAAAGTCAGAACAAGCTGCAAGAAATAAACAAAACCAAAGGGAATTTGTTTCACACTTACCTAGAAGAAATCTGAATCCATCATGCAAGCATATGACTCCAAATGACATTTTAAGCAAGCAGAATGTGAATGTTCTATGGAATCTGACATAATTCAAGAATATATTACATAACCAGCTGACTGTTGCATTCAGCCATTGTAGTGGAGACTACCAGACATAAAAATTCCACTGAGTTGAAATGCACTTGAATACACTTTCTCACTGTAATTTTTTTTTAATTTTTCATATATCTGGTTCTAGAATACTCAAGAGCTTCACTTAAAAGCTAAGATCATGATTCTATTGCACTCTGTAAAGGTTGTTGCTCTATTTCCATTTACTGCCCATGGTTTCCTTCTCAGCCCTGATTTTTACCAAGTCTGATCTAGCTGATCATATATCTGAAAATAGGCCTGCAAAGGAGCCTTGACTTGTTAGTTAAAAAGGGTTATTCTTACTTTAGTGTATTAATATCACATATATTTAGGTTTACTTTTTCTGTTAAATTAACTGTACTTTTCAGTAACCATAAATGAAAAAGTATCAGAGGGGTAGCCGTTTTAGTCTGGATGGCACCTTATAGACTAACAGACGTTTTAGTGGAAATAAATATGCATGTAGTGGAAATACATATGCAGGCATATTTATACCTGCCTCTGGAAATTTGCACTACATGCATCTGACAAAGTGAGTATTCACCCACGAAAGCTTATGCTCCAAACAGGGCCGGCTCCAGGGTTTTGGCCACCCCAAGCAGCCAAAAAAAAAAAAAAAAGACCGCGATCGTGATCTGCGGCGGCAATTTGGCAGGAGGTCCTTTGCTCTGAGCGGGAGTGAGGGACCGTCTGCCGAATTGCTGCCGAATACCTGGACATGCTGCCCCTCTCCGGAGCGGCCGCCCCAAGCACCTGCTTACCAGGCTGGTGCCTGGAGCCGGTCCTGGCTCCAAAACATTTGTTAGTCTATAAGGTGCCACAGGACTCTTTGTCGCTTTTTATAAATGAAAAACTAAATCAATGTAGTTTTAAAAAGTACTTGGCAATACCAGGTCTGTAGAATACTTACTAACTTAGTTCATTCAAACTTTTAAACTCTGAGAAGTGTAACATTCTGAGTTGGGTAATCAGAGCAAATTAAAACTATAGCATGACAGGTTCAGTAATTACTCATTTTGATCATGACGCTACAATCATTTATGCACAAGCTTAGCTTTACACACAAGTAATCTTACTAAGTTCAGTGAGATACTCACATGCGTAAGTGTCTGCAGATCAGAACTTTGGTTTATAAAACTGAGTGCTAAAAACACAACCCAGAATGTTAATTCAAATCTGTATTCCTTTGAAAAGACAGTTGCAGAACTAATATCCCAACATTTTTGTAGGTGCAGTTGAAAGAATAAAGAAAATCAGAGACTATGCATTTGTACACTTTAATAACAGAGACGATGCAGTTGAAGCTATGAAAGCCTTAAATGGGAAGGTAACGCTGGACTAGTAGCATTCATAGTATATTGGTGTCATACAACTGTATTTGCTTTTTTGTAATTGTTTGCAATTTATGTAATCAAGTTTCAGCCTTTTGGGTGTTCACAAACTATTCATTTTGACTATTTACTATTTATCTGCATAATGGGAAACTGTCACCTAAATCACATAGTAGTGTTCTGTTCTGACTCGATGCAAGAAACAGAATAGTGAACAAATGACTAATACTGAATAACAGGTCACAAAATCTCATGCTAGCACTTTGAATACCCTTTCCTTATGTGTCAACAAAAAAGAAGGCAATGTGCAATGGTCAAACTAAAACAGCTGTTCAGAATTCAAACAAAGATCTGTAAAAGCTGTTTTTTCCCAGACTTTAGCCAATTTTAATGCCATATACAATTTTGAAATTATAATGCAATAACCAGGTCTTAAGAGTTATTAACTATTTTATTATTTTCATATGTTGCAAATATTGTGTATAATATTATATAATAGTATTACATATTTATCATGGGGTGTTATTCATCCTTCTTTTATTCCTGCTTCTACTGAGGAATCACTTCAAATGTGCCAAATCCTTTCCAAACAAATAGGAATAACCCCTGCTCTGATGAGTGTAGTTTAAAAAAGTATATTAACATAACCCCAAATTACATTAATAGGAGCTACACACATATTAAAAATATATTCCTGTGCTGAGAACATGACAGCAAGAGAGGAAATTCAGGATCCATGCATTCAAAGATATGGGATATTTAATTCACACCCTCTATAGACTCTGCATTGCAACTGAATACATGCTTGCTAAGAAAATAAATCCATTTGCCTCTGGTAAAACAAACAGTCATTGATCAGGTAAAATACAGCTCAAAAACTCCCTTCAGAGAGACTATTTTTCTTGTAATTGCAGTGCTTTTCAATCTAGAAGCTGAATAAAGCTATATAAAGCCATCTTGTGAATGTACAAATATACTCCACATGTTCTGAGGTGTGCACTCACTATCTTGAACATCTGTCTTGGGAAAATAGGTAATGCAGTCACTTTTCCATTGAAGGATGCTGCACTACAGTACCTCACTGAAAAATTGCATGAAGCCCATTGATACATATTTTGCATCACCTGTTGGAATCAACACTGAAGATGGGGTACTTACCATTAACATCACAGGGAAAACTGGCTTCCATTTTCATGTGCTCATTATTGTTTTCAGGTTAATATAAATGGTAATGTTTGGGTGAGGGAAGGGGCAAACAGACCTCACCTAATTTTGAACCTTCTCAGAAAGTGCACTTGTAAAATGAGCGGTTGATTGAATTTACACATTACTGTGGGCAGAAGAGGAGGGTATCTAAGGCTATGTCTACACTTGGAGCTGGGGTTCTGATTCAAATAAGAATACCGGTGCTAGCTCTCTCTCTCTAGAGCTAAAAACAGTGGTGTAGCCATGGTAGCACAGGCAGCAGTGGCACAGGCCAGCATCTTGAGTACCCACCCACGAGGTCCAGGAAGGTTTGTGCCTGGGGCAGGTAGCCCACACTGCCACTCACCACTGCCTGAGCTGCAGTGCACTATTTTTAGTGCAGTAGCTCCTTGGGAACTAGCATGAGTATGTCACTGGGAGCTGGGAATCACACACTCTAGCTCCAAGCGCAGACATAGCCCAAATTCCTCTAACCTCACAGCAGCTGCAGGCAGAAGACGAGCAGACTGCCACGGTTCACACATTTTGCAACAGCAGCCAGGGGCCATCTTGCCTTTCTGCCCCTGGGAACATGGCCTCACTACAGAAGATTCTCAAACTCTTTCAGCCACCCCCACCTAAGTAGCTGTGGTTAGCAAAATGCAGAACTTGGCTGGGCTTCTACAAAACAGTCATTATGATGTTGGACATTGTACTGCATTTGTGCTTCCCTTGCATTTTTCCATGCATTTTTCCTTGTTTTAAAGGTGCTGGATGGTTCCCCTATCGAAGTGACATTAGCAAAACCAGTAGACAAAGACAGTTACGTTAGACACACCAGAGGCACAGGGGGACGAGGTACCGTGCTACAAGGAGAATACACTTACACATTTGGACATGTGTATGATCCCGCCACAACCTACCTTGGAGCTCCAGTCTTCTATGCACCTCAGGCCTACGCAGCTATTCCTAACCTTCATTTCCCTGCCACCAAGGGTGACCTCAGCAGTAGGGGCATTATCCGACCTCCATCTATTAGAGGTAACTCCAGCGGCTATGTCTATGGCAATCCAGAAATCTATCTTTGAAATAGCTTCATAGCTAGAGTAGGAGGTAAATTTATGAAATCAAATATCTATGCACCACATTAAAGCTGTGCATCCATGCATCACATTAAAGCTGGTTCCGCTAAAAAGTTTTTAAAAACTTGAGGCATACACCAGTTTTAACTAAATGGAGAAATTAGCATAAACCACCTCGGATTATATGAGTTGAAGCATACCCCCATCACTCAGGCACTTCAGAGAGGACCGTAAGTTGGGGCTGCTCCTGAGTCTTTAATGATCTGAAGAGTGTCCCAAGGTCATTGTCCAATGGTTCCTCACTATGAAGAAACTCCAGCCCACCGTTCTTAGGAGTTCCAATTGCTAGCACTGAAACATTCAATAATCTTTCTGGCACACACAATAGTCTCTCAAATTTCCTGCTTTTTTCAGCTACTTCCTCTTTTTTACACCTACCACAATCTCCATTCACTGGGACAGACCTATGCATATAGCCCAGCGTTCTATAATTCTGCATAGCCTCAGGTCACACATCCTTTTAAGAAAGCAACTGAAAGCCTTCATACACTGGAAAATAGCCACAGTCTTTGGAACCTCTCCTTTAAAAGGGGATGAGAACCTTCAGGCAGGCTAAACAAACATATATATATATATACTCCCTCATCAGCCCAGGAGAAAGCCGAAAGTCTTTTAACAGTCTCTGAATTACTCTTGCTCCAAAATAAACAAATCAAAATTCCTCCATTTTGTCCCAGGAGGGAAAAAACAAACAAAACAAGAGTTTTCCACTCAAAACAGAACTCCTTGCCCACAGCTGGCTGTTGATTCAGTCCCAGAAGCCTAGCAGTTGATTTTCTCCCCCTTTTAATGGCTCAAGGCTGAGATTCAGGAAAACTAACCAGTCCCAGGAGATCCAGTGCTCTGTGTATTGACTCTTATCTTCCCACAACCAGGACATTTTCTAGCCAGGCCATTACCCTAGTCATTCTGGGGCTCTAAGCAGCAGTACAGCATCATTACAGGGAATGAAAAATGAACCTCCAAAACAGAGATGAAAACAAGGAAGTGCTTCACACTGTGCTCCAAGAAGTGGCCAAAAGCACCAGTAGGTTATACTGTCGACATTAAGTATCTTTTCAAGTATGTTGACTACAGAGATCAAAACTGGGGGGGGGTTTGTTGCACTATCTTGTTGGTTGGGTTTTAATTTTGCAACAATCAAATGGTTGGTAGTTCAGTCTGGTGTCCTATTATGTCTCACCACCACAGATTTGGATATATAGTTCCAATTTTGATCTATCACAGTGTAGACAAAACATCAGGGCCAGCTCCAGGCATCAGCCGAGCAAGCTGGTGCTTGGGGCGGCAGCTTGTAGAAGGCGGCATTCCGCCCAATCCTAGGGCGGCACGGCCGTT